TAAAAATAATATAATATTTTGTGGATATTATCTTGAAATCAATTGATTTATGTCTTACACCCTAGATATTATGTATAAGTATAATGTATATAATTTGTACATGGTGATTCTTTTTTAAATGTACATGTTGCAGACTTGCAGTATGAAATACATACTATCTTGAWATAAATAAATTTATATAATATTTTTAATTTAAACTTTTTGTTTAATAAAATCAATACATTCGTTGCTGTTTAGAATCTAAAATATTATATTTATTACTATGAATAATAAATAATAACATAATATAACAAGTGTATTAATAATTATATATATATATGTATATAATATGACCAATATTGTGTTATTTTTTTTTAAATAATACCTAATTTAATACTTTAATTTTAATTGTTATATAATATTTAATTATTGTAATTTGGCTTTTTTTTAGACAAAACATTTAAATGTCAATCTTACCATAACTTGTTAAATAAAACACAATAGTCACAATCATGACAGCTAACACCATGAYAGTTTAAGACAGTGTTTCATAAACTGTGTTCCACAGAGATGAGGAAATCTGGGGTTCAGCGAAAAACACTTAGTGGTTSTATTACTCAAAACTTCTATCCTCCTTTTTTGATTAGTCATTATTATTAATTTTCATAGGAATTCCACAATATTAATATAAAGTTTGATATTCTGAGGTCTATTTTATCAAAAACTAATTAGCAATGAACAGAATGTTTTGTTTTAAGTAGTATACATAATTAAAAACATTTTTTTTTTTGTTTTTTTCAGCTGACCTTCTCAACAAAAGTACAAATTTATGTTCATTCCACTGATTATTTATACTATTTACACTAAAATCTTATATTATCTTAAAATATTTTAACTTAATTAAAAAAATCAAACTTTTATCAGCAGTTCAAGAAAGTGTTATAGCCCTATTAATTAGTGTAATAGAAATATAATAAAAATAATTGTTACAGTTTTTTTGTTAACTTTGATTTAGCTATATGCTATTTTACTTACACTGATGAGGATAATAATGCTGATTAGCCCATAGYTCATGTTGACCTTTTTTCAACAATTYTTGTGCTGTCGGTACATCTATTATATTCTTGTTGTCATCAAAACGTTTTCTTAAGCGCACAATCTTAATTCGCATCAATGGTCTAGAAAAACAAAGTAGAAAATTAGTTAATAGGTAACAGATCACTACTCTATAATACATTGTTAAGGTACAACCCTAATAACCACACTTAATATCAATTTAACTGTTAATAATTGAATTTGAATGTTTTTTTATTTGAATGTCAACTTCAGCTATGACCTTTAAAAAAAAGTATACAATTTGAATTTATGTAAGCCATAATATTCTATATTAAGAATATTTAAAAYACTTATAAATTATTAAAACAATCCCGGGTTACATGTTAAATAAATTAAATGTATATTAAAACTAGTTAAATACAAGTTTTTATAATATAATAATTGTGTTTAAATTTTAAGACATGTAAAATTATTCTTCAGAATAATGATGCTTTTTATTAAACTATCTTTTAAAACTAATATTAAATACTTATAAAGTTATAACTAATAATTTTAGTATTATAATTCTACTATTTGATTCCTATAATAAATGTTTTACCTGTAATGATACCAATCCTCGATAGTCCTGCATGCTTTTTTATAAAGTGAACACACTTGTCTTTTATGCGTAATAATTTCATACGGTATAAAAGACATGGTAAGGTAAAGTGTTTCACAAATATATTCACAAATATATATAACTAATGAAATGYGAAAAATATAGTTCTAGAACCTATAGACAGATCGAAATCCCTATTCCGAAATCTGAATAAAAAATTGCATTCTTATCAATGTTATCAAAGAAGGATAGGAAGACGTACTGTGGTACTATTATTTATAATACAATTATATATATATAATGGAATATACTATATTTATAACGATAAAAAAACATATGATATTCATTGTGGTATCATATTTGTTTTTCAATGAGTTATTGAGTTGGTCATTTTTAACACTTTTCATCATTTTAAAACTTTAANATGTTGCTGTAGTTTTCAAAACTGTGTCCAAGTGCTTCATATATAGATGATCCGGAATGTTTAGAGATGTTCTGGCATCGGCGTAGTTGCGGTAGTGTAAAAGAATGTGTTTAACAGTAAGGTCCAGTGGCGAAATTACGTGGGGGATTTGGGTGTCGTATCCCCCCCCCCATGACCTTTTTTTTTAAGACTGGTTAACTACATTCACCTATGTACTTCTTTATCTAATAATAATATTATTATTTATATATATATATAATCAAATACCTCTGCGAATTAATATTATTATAAATAGTCCATTTTATACTTTATAGAAATAATACAAAAAAAAAACAAATCCTTTATGCTAGTTGTACATAAATACTACGTTCGTAGGTACCTAGTTCGTTTAAATACAGCCACGCAAGTTTATAAGTATCACTATTGCAATATGTTTTGTGTATGTTTTGAGTTTGTTTATGCATTGTGTAGTGGTACAAAAATAAACCACCGARCAGTAAAGTATTATTTKATCGTGGATCGACGACGCTCGACGATTATCAGATTATTTAATTTTATCTAGATTAAAGACTATTGTCATATCTATCCTATCCTACTATTTTTCAGTAGTCCTATTGAACTAAAAATAACTTATCGATTTGTACACTTAATGTACACTTAATCGGAAATCGGAATTTATTCCATGTCTCATGTGTACATAAATATATTGCTCTGAATTCTGAAAGGTGCTTATAATAAATACTTTTTATTTTTTTCATGGGGGGGGGGGGTATAGGTAAAATGTTAAAACATTTTATCCCCCCCCCACAAACATGGCCAAATTACGCCACTGTGTAGTTGAGTAGTAGAACATGACGTTCTGACATTGGGATTGAAGATTTTTATTTTATAACATCTCAGTTTCAACCTTAAGTCCTTAATATTGTTTAGTTTGTAATTTCATAAATCAAAATCATAATACAATATACATGGCATTTTGGAATTTGGCAACATAATTTTGGTAATTGGAAGTCGGAAGATACTAATTAGTAATTACTAATATAGACAATTTTTATCAGTATTATTAAAAGTGATTCAAAAACAGATTGGCGCCACTGTCCACTGTCATACATGGTATATAAATGAACAAAATTAAAACCATATTCTAATTTCTAATCTTCATTGTTCATAGTTATTATGGTAAGTTATCGTTTTCAGCTGTATCTGATTAAAATCTAGTAATAAATCGAAATTAATCATAAAAATTAAGCTATTTCATTAGTGAATAACTTAACAAAAAACTTAAATTATGGATTTTTTCTACGATTCATTTTATGGTGGTATACTGGTATACCTAACTATTAAAGGAAATACTTCAAAATTATCTAAGGCCGATTCAACGTTCATTTAGGTCACGATGAGCCCATTATTGTAGGTCCGCATGATTCTCTACATCGTGGATATAATTGATGAGGATAACTCGATCGAAAGCCTGGGTTAAAAAAATTAAAATATCTACTTTAAATTTTTTAATCATTATTTATTGTTCCTATACCTATTGTCAACACAGTCAATACTATTAACATAATATGATAATATATAAGTTGTAGTAACTAAAGTATATTATAGTGGCTCTCTTCGCCTAACAGCTTCGGTCGCCACACTKCCCATRGCCCATACTCAAGATCCTTTGGACCTCTCGTTGGTGGGGGGCTAGGCCACCAAATCCTCCGGGGCTAAAATAGCTAATCTAAGGGCGAGTGAGAGGGTGGTGACCAGGGGTGCCACACGTAGGATAATTCTCGTACTCGTACGAGAATAAGTGGTATTTATAGGATGTAGGATGACATATTATGATGTATCCTACTTAAATGTACGATGATTTAAAAATATCGGTCGAAAACCACAAATTTGTACCATAAATTCAATCAATTTTTTTTTCTCTAACTTTTCCAGTAATATAAGCACATTAATGGAACAACTGATTATATAATATATATATATATATATAATAATCTTTATGTATGGTGAAATCACTTGGAATTTTGGAAATATAATTTATTTTAGTCGGCTAATCATTAGCGTGGTGTTGCCAAGGCCAATTTCTGATACGGACAATTGGTGATAAGTGAATAGTTATAAAGTTGACTGATTTTGCGCCGGGAAAAAAAGTAGGATAGGACCAAGTTATAGTACGAGTATAATACGGCATCGTAGGTAGGAGATCGCATTTTTAAAGSGTGGCAGCCCTGGCGGTGACCCTTTCGGAGTCGTGGGGGAAAGCATCCCTGCTCTTTGGGCAGACGGATCACCTATCAAAGTAACACAAGAATCTATTCGCCTATCACATCTGGTCGCCAAACTTAAGGTAACCGGCAACCGCTTCGCCTATGACCGGTTCCCGCCGGTAGACCATCAAAGTATCAAACAGTCCGAACTCCCCATAGATAATAAAAGAATGGATAGGCCAACAGGCCTTATCGCACGGGCATGAACAATGAGGTTACAAGGGGTTTTATCAGTATAAAAATATCAAAATTGCTATAAAATAAATGATAATACCCATTTACTAAAGTGAGAGCACTATATAAAAAGCAATCTGTCTCTCATCCACATTCCAGCCCGCAAACCCCTTTGTTGTTATTTTGTTAATATAGGAATGGCCTATTCATACTTTTATTATCTGTGGAACTCCGAGTAAAGGTCGCCACACACTGCAGCGGTGGCGGTTACGGCAAAATGAAGCCGGACTCAATTTTACCGCCACCGTTGCAGTGTGTGGCGACTTTAAACCGATTAACTCTACTCCGCATGGCATTAAAATAATGTTACACGCATGCGTATAAACGTAAAATCGTAACTTCGCAAGTCCATAACTGGAAAAATTAATAATTTCCGCAAATTTATTTTTGCACCATCGTTGCAACTTGTCGAAATACTTAGATTTCCAAAAAAAAAGTCGAAAAATTCGTGAGGTCACTAAACTAGTTTTATACCAAAGATCGTCTTGTCCGATTTTTTAAATGATTAGAAAACAATAAAATTAGTGTGGTAAACCTGTTAGATAGCAGTTTTAAAAATTGATAAGAAATTGTTTGGTCTTTCCCCAGCTGCCTAGACGAAGTTTCGTTATTTTCGAAGGAACGTATGTGAATTGTGGATCCTAACGACATAACGTGTTATAGTTGTTCTTAATACTATAATAATTATACAGATTAACTTTCATTTTCAGTATTTCTCTTAATATATTGTTTAAGTTTTTATATTTCTTTACTTGATTTTTTCRTCAAAACTTGTAACAAGTAAAGGTAGAACTGGGCATTCAATTATTTCTTCACCTAAATAAACGTTTTCTACGGTTAGTTTGAGATTAATACATAATAACTATTAAATGTATATTGTACAAACAATYAGGTAATATTTATTTGTGTCCATAGATGGAAATTTCAAGTAATAATATTAATAATTTGGTGAAATGCCTCCAAGCCACATTAAGCCCAGATCCAAGTGAACGCAAACAAGGTTAGGATAATTGATTGTTTTCAATTGTAATCATGTGTAACAAATATTATAACTAGATACGTATTATGTTTATTTTATAGCTGAAAACTTCTTACTTTCAATTGAATGTAATAAAAATTATCCATTATTATTACTTCACATTATTAGTGCACCAAATGGCGAGAATGTTGATTTGGTCAAAAAAATTGGATCGGTAACTTTCAAGAACTATATCAAACGAAATTGGCCAGTTGTAAGTTATTGATTAATTGTTATGAACCTATTAAAAATTATATAAATCATAAATTTTCTTGCTGTTTTGATATTTGCCAATTTACCACACTATATTTCTTATCTGCCATTAGTGTTGCTTCTAAACATTTGTTTTCAACAAATTAAGTATGRAACTTACTATTGGAGTATAATCCTTAGAACCCATATGGTTAGGTTATGTTTATTAGTTAACAGTAAAGGACAAGAGTAGTATTTTGTTACTTTGATTTATCAAAAAAAAGTATTTTTTTTTTTTTTTAGGATGAAGACACATTACAAAACAAAATACATCAAGAAGATCGTGCATTAATAAAAGAACAGATTGTGACAGTTATGTTGAATGCTCCAGATGCTGTTCAAAAGCAGTTAAGTGATGCTATTTCACTTATAGGCAAACATGATTTCCCAGATAATTGGCCAAATTTATTGACAAAAATTATTGAAAACTTTGCTGCATTCGCTAGTATTTATATTCAATATTTTAATAATATAGTATTGTTATTTATACCATAAGATGTTATAATGTGATATGTTATAGATGCACCAACTGGTRATCTAACACCTATCAATGGAGCATTAGAGACAGCTCATTCGTTGTTTAGAAAATATAGATTTGAGCTTAAATCTCAGAAGCTTTGGACAGAAATAAAATTTGTGTTAGACACCCTAGCTAAACCTCTAACTGAATTATTTGTTGTAAGTTTATTAAGAACTTTTAAATGAAAGTTAGTTATACAATTAATTTGATAACAAACTATCAAACAAAAGATAAAATTGTAAGTTATTAATATTAGAAATTGGCTTTCAGCTAACCATGAATTTATGTGAAGTTTCAAAGGATCCTAAAGTTTTTAATGTAATACTTGTATTGACTAAAATATTTTATTCATTAAACTATCAGGTGAATGAACATAGAATAATTTTAATTTATTAATAATAATTCATTTTTTAATTATTTTATTATTTAACAGGATCTACCAGAATTTTTTGAAGATAATATGCAAATTTGGATTACTAATTTCCAGAAATTGTTAGAATTAGAAATTAAAGAATTGGAAACTGAGGTAATTTTTAYTTTATCTAATTTATATAACTAACTTATATAAATTTATTTTTAAAGAGTGATGAAGAAACTGGTATATTGCATCAAATTCAATCACAAATTTGTGAAAATATATCGTTGTATGCACAAAAATATGAAGAGGAGTTTTCTTCTTATATGCGATCATTAGTTACTATTATTTGGAAATTATTGATTAAGACTGGATCACAACCAAAATATGACACAGTAAATATTTAAATTTATCCATAAGTTTTAGTTATTTAAAAAAAAAAATTCTGATTTATTTAGCTTGTTATAAATGCCTTGCAATTTTTGTCAACMACTGTTATTAAGCCTCAGTATCGTGATCTTTTTGATGATCCATCAGTTTTCTCAGCTATTTGTGAAAAAGTTGCTATTCCTAATATGCAATTTAAAGGTATGTTAATTATTTCTAGTATATATATTTTTATTAATTAGTGTATGATTTATTGTAGCATCAGATGAGGAATTATTTGAGGACAATCCAGAAGAATATATTCGAAGAGATATTGAAGGTTCTGATGTTGATACTAGAAGAAGAGCCGCATGTGATTTAGTTAAAGCACTTTCAAAGGAGTTTGAACAAGTTACCATGTCTTCATTTGGTTTATATGTGAAAGTAAGATTATTTGGTACTATTTAATTCATAAATAAAATACACTCATACAATCATACAAATATATAAATGTAAATGTATAAATCTTATTGTTTCTATTCTAGTCTATGTTAGAGCAGTATGCAGCTAATGAACAAAATTGGCGTAGTAAAGATGCTGCATTGTTTTTAGTAACAACACTTGCATCAAGAGGAAGTACTCAACGTCATGGTACTACTAAAATTAGTGAACTTGTTAATTTAGAAGAATTTACCACAATGCATGTATTGCCTGAATTAGCAAAACCAAATAGTGAGTACACAGTGCTTCTTCAATATATATAAATATTTATCTTATTTATTAATTATAAATTAATCTATGTTTAATATCTATAGTTAATGGTATGCCTGTTATGAAAGCTGATGCTATTAAATATATAGTGACATTCCGTAGTGTACTACCTCCTCAAGTTATTGTTAGCACATTACCATCACTTACAAAACTTCTAGAAGCTGAGAGTGTTGTTGTTAGGATTTATGCTGCAGCTGCTATTGACAAGATTTTACTTTTGAAACAACCTGGCACTAAAACTCCRGTGTTAGTATATTTTTAATAAATTAATAACTATAAAACTTATGTTAATTATTTGAATAAACTTAATTTAAGTTCAGAATATAAAAACCCAGTTAAATATTGTTTTGTTTRTCTAATGTTTAGGATTGATGCAGCTACATTATCTCCATTTGCAGAACAACTAATTAAATCTCTCTTTGGAATTTTAACAAAACCTGGTTCGGAAGAAAATAGCCACACAATGAAGGGTAAAATTATCAATTTTTCTTTGCTTATTTGTTTCTATTAATCTATTTGATAAATATGATGTTAATAGYATAATTTTTTTTTATCTAATAATAGCTATAATGAGAACATTTTTAACACTGAAACAACAAATAATTCCTCTTTTGGCTGAACTTTTACCTGTTCTGACTGATAAACTCACTATTGTTGCTCGTAATCCTAGTCAACCAGAATTCAATCATTTTCTCTTTGAAACCATTTCATTTTGTGTAAAGTAAGTTTAGTTTTAAAATGGATATAGCATTCTTGAATTAATAATTTTATTTAAATGTTCGTTATTTGTGCATGTATTTTGAATATATTCTATAATATTTATTTGTCTTATAATAGACTTGTCTGCACCGTAACACCTGAAGGAGTTGGTTCATTTGAAGGAGTATTGTTTCCTATATTTCAAATTATATTGCAGCAAGATATTTTGGGTATGTGGATAGTTAAGTTTTTTTATTGTATAMCCTAACATTGATTTTATAAAAATTTATAGAATTTATGCCATATACATTCCAACTACTGGCTCAGTTACTTGAATTCCATAGTCCTGGCAATGTGGGAGATACATATACTATATTGTACCCATTTTTATTGACACCAGTTTTGTGGGAGAAAACCAGTAATATTCATCCATTAGTTAGGCTCTTAAGATCATATGTGCGCAAAACTTCCCCAGAAAATTTTGAAAAATGTTTGAATATAGTAAGTATTTAAAATAATTGTGTTTATAAAAAAATTTTAATTAAAAAAAAAAAACCATTTAGAATGGACTTTTAGGTGTGTTCCAAAAACTTATTGCATCAAAATCACAAGACCAAGAAGGATTCAGATTACTGAAAACAATAATAGAGCATTGTCCAATGTTAGTAAACTCATTAATATTTATACATTTGATTTAACTTTGAACTTAATTAATTTCAGGGAAGTATTACAATCTCAGATGAAAAATATATTTGTTCTCTTGTTTCAACGACTAACTTCATCTAAAACTACTAAATTCATACGAGAACTAATCGTTTTTATATTTTTCTGTGTCATCAAGTATGGAGCAACATTTATGGTAGATCTTATAGATTCAATTCAAAATGGGTAGGCATTTTTTATTTTTACTTTGTAAATTTTATCTTCAATAAAAAATATGAAGATATTAATCACCTAAACTTTATATATTTTAGTATGTTTGGTATGCTGTTAGAGAAAATCATGTTACCTGATGTTCAAAAAGTAACTGGAAATATTAATAAAAAAATCACTGCTATTGGCATCATAAAGGTACTTACAGACACTCAAAAGCTAATTGATGGACCTTATGCGCAATTTTGGTATGTTATTTTTACAAAATATAAACTATTAAATGAAAATTTGTGTGAAAGAAATCTTCACCCCTTCCTGTTGCATAATAGGAACCTTTGTCAGTCCTTAATACAATTTGTCATCATTCGATCAAACTAGGCAAAAAAATTAAATAATATTTTGGGAATCCCAAGTTAAAACGCAATAAAGCTTAAGTATTAATTAAATTAACTGAAAATAATGTTACAGGGCTCTACTCCTCCAATCTGTCGTTTGCTTGTTTGAACTTCCAGAAGATGAAACTGTTTATTCTGAAGATAGATTATTACAAGATGACAATGATAATTCTTACGAAGCCGGCTACTCGCAACTAGCTTTTGCTAGCGAAACTGAATATGATCCTTTAGAAGGTAAGTAACAAATAATGCATTAAGATGATTAACTTATGTATTATGCATTTTAGGAGTGGAAGCAAAAATGTTCCTAGGTCAATCATTAACCAAACTCATGAACCAATTCCCTGGACGAGTTTCTATACTTATGAGTCAAGGAATTACTGAAGAGCGGCGTGCACAAATTCAAAACTATCTAATTAGTCTCAATGTGCAAATTATGTGAATTATATTTTTCATTGAACAAAAACATCAACCTTATTTTATAAATGAGTTTTGTATCTTGTATGTAATTGAAAACAATTTTTTCTTATTGARTTTTAAATAATTATTTTGTTTAACCASCACAAACACAAAATACCTCTTTTCTCTTYAGCTTATAACAGTTAATAATAATCTTAAATAGTTGTATAATATTATAGTAAATAACATTATTTTTTTTAACTAAGGATAACATTTTTTTTTTTAAATGTGTATATTTTTTTATCTTGTTTACAAAATTGTTATAATAAAAAATGTTCATATTTAAGRCTGTTCTTACAGCATTCTTACAGTGTCCAGTTAAAGTTAACGGTCACTTAATTGGATATTGCAAAAACCGGCCTTAATGTACTTTATATCAATTACTTATTGTAAGAAAAATATTTTATTTAATTGTATAACTACTCAGAAACTAATTTAGTTGAATAGAACAGTTTATTTACTGTGGACACAGAATATATTTACTATTATCAGTGGCATAAAAAGGCTAGCGTTCTAATCTCAGATGCTAATTAAATTTGATTTTAAAAGATAATAAAKGGAGAAAGTAGGTCTCAATTGTATCTTATCATTGAGTAATGAGTATGTTACTAACTTACTGTTATGTATTAAATTTGAATTGAGTAATATATCATGAATAAATGATTCTTAGATTTGATATTCCGTCGCCCAACTACTAAAGTACTAAGGCCGTTTCTTACAGTGTCTGTTATCGCCTAACCAACAGTGGGATTTTTAACAGCAGAATTCCATCAGTTAAGTGTCCGTTAAATTTAACTGGACATTGTAAGAACGGCCCTATGTTTATTTTACTATTATTAATGCAATCTATTCTGTGGTTATACCATTTAGTAAGAATACACCGCATGTGTTTTMTCCGTCTTACCAGAGCATAACATACTAAATTTTATGCAAATCTCGTTTAGTTCCGTAAGTTAAACAATGAGTGAATTGACCTATTTTAAAATTTAAAGGTAAGAGTATTATTTAGATGAATACCTATATGGGTCTTTAACTGTATTTAGTGTATTTTAATTTCGAAGTTAGTTATAGGTATTTTAAGATACACAAAAAAATTTACAATTTTTATTAGTAGTATATCTTTAATGGGATTCTACCTAAAAGTCCCACGAAAAAAAGTCCGGTTTATTTATTTACGAGGGATAAACCACTATCGAAAATTATGTACGCCAGATTATAAAGAATAAAGATTTTTATAATACTCTATTACTATAGTCAGCTGTTTTTTATGGCCATCGAGAAATTTGAACTTGGAAATATTTTTTTTGGAGGTTCCATAATATTCTTCATAGTTCATATTATGAACTATGAATTCATATTGACTTTCTGAAATTTAATCGTGGCCGTAATGGACTGTATTTATCATGACCAAATGTGTTATCAGTCATTTTCCATTATCATTGTAAACCTATAATAATATATAATATTGTTATTCTTGAAGTAAATAGTAAATATTCARTTTGTATTATTAATAATATGTAACAAGTAACGACTTATTAATTATTGTTGTCGAATAATATAAACTGTTCAGTTTGGGTCATGTTGAAATAAATACGTTTGAAAATACAATAACAATTATTTTTGTCCTGTGTTATTAACTAGTAACTACACAGTTGAAGATTTATCATTTATTTTTAATCGTGCTAATGTATTAGTTTTAYTATTGGTCGTAATTCGAAGTAATATTGTACTTTCAAGTTTCAACATTTTAAATGGTATAATCCCTGGTATGATTGTTATTGTCGTTTTGGTGTGAATACCGAAAGTCTTCAGATTTGACGTCTAATGGTGGATTGGATACATTTGATGTTTTTGCTGTTCAAAGGCGTGTTTTGAATTTTGAAGAACGAATAATCAGATAAAYATGGTAAGATGGTAATACATAAACAATTCCGAACAATTGAAGAAAATTATGTTATGCCCATCTGTAATGATTGCAGCTGTTATAGTTTATAGTTTCGATTYTATGATGAGTTTTAAAATCTGTAAACCTATAGTGTGTCCAAGTGAAGAAACCACTTAACATGGGACAAAACTTATTTTAGACAGCTATTGGTCTTACTTTATTAATAAGACCTAACCTTTGTTTATTAATTTTGAATTGTGTATGTTTTTTTTTAATTCTATGATCCTGATGTCGCTCACAGATTATTTAAAKGATCGATACARACAATTTTAATAGCTATTTAAAAATATTCAAATTTTTAAATATATTTCATTGCTTATTTAAAGTACATATTTAGAAATGGCTAATGGCAATATAAAATACTAGATATAGTTGTAACATAATAACAAGATTATGTAAAAAAAAAAAACAGTTCAATGGGGGATTAAGTTACGAATACAGCCAGATCTATAGATTTACAATATTTTCCCATTATATTGGAAAACTATCTGCATGACTATGTTGTAGCGTTTTTATTCTTTGRATATTAATTCTCACTATTTTGTATTTATGAATGAAAATAACAAAAAAATATGAAAGAATTATTTAAATAGCTTATTATTTAAATAGCTTGTTATACTTTATATAAAGGTACTAAAAAAAAAAACAATACAACAGATCAATTTATTATCTATGATATTGAAATAAATACTAGTCAATTATATGAAGTTCTGAGCCCCACTAATTGTCACATTTCAAATAATCACTTGATTTTTCTTTTTTCTTTTTTAATAATTATTAAATATTATCATAATAAATTTGTTTTAGGGTAAAAAAAACAATAATAAAATGAATTCACTTCAGATATCAAAAAATGAATTTGATACAATTAAATCGAAAGCTGTTGTCAAATATTCTTCAGTTCTTCGACCACCTAATTTTGCTCATCTTCAATGTAACACTGATCTAAATTTACCACCTTCAAATTGGTTGAGCAGTGCAGCTGAATCGTATGGTTTACAACACATGTTATCTCATTCAGATGGATTTTCTAGGTAAGCAAATGTTGAATTTTTTAAAACATTGTAATTTTTTGATTAATTACCTTATATTATGTTTTCTTTAGTTTTCAAATGGCTCACATGTTTCCAGACTGCATTGGGGAAGTTGATGTTGTGTCAGATGCTGAAAATATCAAACGACTATTAAAAATACCCTACAGTAACAAATCGGTAATTTTTTTATTTAATTATTATTGTTATCTAATACAWTAACATTAAAGAGTTTAAAATGAACTACCTCTATGTTAATAAGTTTTGATAATTAATACAATATAATAACTTATAACTAACCATCATTAGTGCAGTAACTAAGTTTTTATCCCAGTTTTTATTGACAGGAGTGTAAGCATATTTCATGCATACCATTTAAAATATAATTTTTAAATTATCAATTTGGTTATGTATTAAAACATAATTGGGTCACCTTCAAATATGTCAGTAAATCAAATCATAATAAAATATTTTGTACGTACATTTCTTCTGTCAAATGATGATCAAATTTAAGTATTTTTAACAATTACCATATAATTATTATATAATTTTTATGTACACACCGTTTCACCACTTTTTGCCCCTTATAATTTTTGTTGCTCTTTATAGAGCATTTTTTACTAAATTTATTGTTATTTCAAAGATTTTTAGTCCAATAGTTCTGAACCTTATTACCAAATGTATCCTGTAATTTGTATATATTTTTTGTAAAAATGTTTACCTTATATTAATTAGTAATTAATAGAAAGTCTGAAGTTTCAGTGCGATTATATGATTATATATAAATATTGATGTAATTTGTTACCTAGCCTTATTGCATTACATTAATAGTACACTAACTTCTGAAAACTAAAGTTCGCTTGTTGTACAATTAATTAAATGAGTATTGTATATGTTACTATTACATTATGATTGGTTATTTAATATTATTAAGCTATTTGAATAAATAATCATTAATTTTAATTAAACTATTTAAATTCACTTTAGGTAAGCATGATGGTTCATAGGATTGAAAATACATTGCTTCTAGATGAATTTGATGTCCACAAACATTTGATGGTGCAAACTGAGGATGACTGGGAATGGCTGAGAAAATTTTTCTATGGCCATATTTTAGAATCATTTGATAGAAAAGTAAGATAAATTGTGTTTATTTATTGTATAWTATCTGTTTTAATATTAAATTTCAATACTTCATAATTATATATTTTTTTCAAATTTTAAAAGAAACACAAAAATTAGATAAATAGGTATTTTGTTTGAATGTTAAACTTTAGATTCTGAACTATAATTTACTGTATCTATTTATTTGTGTTACTTAATATAGGAAAAATGTATAACTCACAAAGTAAATACTTTTGATGTAATACAACAAAGAAGTTTGATCTCGAAGTTCTTACATTATAGCATTGCTGAGTCATCAAATTCCAATAATGACTACCAATTACCGAATAAAATATTTCCTAGTCCACCTTCTTTGGTATGTTTTTCTTTCTCTTACAGTTATATGTATTTACTGAAACTTTTAATTAATAGTTAAATAATGAATATACGCATTAGGTTTATATTATGTGCATTAAACCATAAATTATTTGCAGTCAGCTCCTCCTTTACCAGAACCTACTCCAGAAGAAGAATTCCCTGATGATCCTAAAACTCATAGATTATTCAACCAAAACGTTTTATGGAATTTTGAAGATCTGCGAATGTTACTGGGTACAGATTTGCCAATTTTTGGAGGTGGCACTTATCCTTGTATAAGTCTGAGACTAAGGTTCAATATTTAATTTTAACCATAATATACAGTTTCGTATTAAATCAAATACTAATATTCAACTTTTAACTTTAGAGACATGTCCAAACCCATAAGTGTGTTAACTGGGATTGATTATTGGTTAGATAATTTGATGTGCAATGTTCCTGAAGTTGTAATGTGTTATCATTTAAATGGTATTGTTCAAAAGTATGAGTTAGTAAAAACTGAAGACTTGCCATATATGAATGATTCAAAATTTTCACCTAAGGTCATCAGAGATGTGGCACAAAATATATTATCATTTTTAAAGTCAAATGCCACTAAAGCTGGACATACATACTGGTTATTCAAAGGTATAAAATAAAAACTAATTAGAAGTGTAAAGATTAGTATTGATCATATTTATGTGCTAATATCTTAATTACTTCTATTTGACTGTAGGGAAAAATGATGATGTAGTGAAACTTTATGATTTGACATCATTATGTTCTGAATCATTAGTAGAAGGACGTTGTGAAGGCCAAAATCCATTCACTGTTCCTGTTGCTATGTTGTTATATCGTGTTGCTCGTAATTTAAAACACAACCCAGATGTTGGAATACCATCCAGTCCAATTACTATTCAAATGTTGCTAAATAATTGTTTAAAATTATTGAACAAAACAAAGTACCCCCAAGTAATCAATAATATATATAAGTGTTTAAAGCAGTTTTAAAGATATATTTTTTTATTATTTATAGATTGTTACATCCGTTAACTACATGTTATCTGACCTCTATATTCCAGTTAATACTAATCCCACATCGCCTAAACTAGAAGACTTAACTAATATTGGTGAAGATTCTCTCACATCTCATGTTGATTCTGATGATGATTCATCATTTGGTTCTGATGATGAATCTCCTACCTTTTCTGTTGGCGTACATGATTTATGTTTGTCACACACAAAAAAAAAAAAATCTTCAAGTTATTATTCTTTACCTTTAATGAGTTAAATGAAAATGTATTATTTACATTTATTATATTTTATTTCAGAACATAAGTTCCCTCGRTCAGAACCTGTAGTAAAGACATTGGAAGAACGTTGTCAAAAAGCATTATATCATGTTGGTTGTGGCTTGAGTTGCTTACAGTATTTTAAGAATCTTAATCCCCATTGTACAGATGAAGATAAAATGGTCTGAAATAAATAATTAATTTCATATTTTTTTGAATTAATAAAGAATTTCTTTGAACTTAAAAACAGTTTGGGAATGAACCTAAAATGGCAGCWTCATCTGACGCAATTCCTATGCCATATCTTGTTTCCGAGATGGATCAACTAATTAAAGAAGACGAACAAGTTATCAATAAAGGCATTAAAAATAAAAATCGCAAACGTAACAAAGCTAATGTAATTGTTGAAAATGATGATGACACTAAAAATGTGTATGTACTTGTTAAAAAAATTTGATCTTTTTTTGAAATCACTTTAATTATTGGTTTTTAATATTTTAGTCCTAGCACATTACTCTGTAAATCTATTGCYGAAACTATGCCCACTTGGCATAATCCACCTGATGCTAAGGACAGTGATTCATGGAAACAACACTTACGGGTGTTACTTTATGAAAAAGCATGTTTATCTTATGCTGCATTAGCTGAACATGAGTTTACATGTAACAAGTAAGATGTGAAAAATATATGTGATATTGTTAAATATTAAATTTTTATTTTGCTATAGGTATGGAGTAGCGTTGAAACACTTTCGATCTGTATTTGCATGTCGGCTATGTATTATTACCACCAATAACAATGATCTGTTCGGATTTTTATTAGGGCGTTGTGGTGATTGCTGTTTGCTGATTGCTCAAAACTGGGATAAAGCCCAACAATATACAGATGAATTAAAAACTGATGAAAATTATGATATAGAAATTAGAGAAGCATTACAAGGCGAATGTGATAATTTTACACAAGAAGGTGGTTTCTGATTAGAAAAATTTGCTAAAAATTATTTAAAAGGATGCTACACCCGCATTTGTTGTATCCGTCTTATAAGTGCGTCACATAGCAAATTTTCCGCTCAGCAGATCACATTTAACTTCGTTAGCTTAGTATTTAGAGTGAATTGACCTCTTATAAAAATCAAAGGTAACATTATTATCGAGGGCATCTCATAGGCTTTTTATTATATTTTAATTTTATAGCGAGTTATGAGTATTACAAGATATACAAACAATTTACAATTTTAAAGTACTCATAACTCACTTTAAAATTAAAATAAAATAAAAAAACCTATGAGAAATCCTTGATAATAATGTTACCTTTGATTTTTCTAAGAGGTCAATTCACTCTAAATATTAAGCTAACAGAGTTAAATGTTTTTTGCTGAGCGTAAAGACTGCAATGTTATGCACTTATAATACGTAGACAATATATGCGAGTGTAGCGTCCTCTTGAAGTTTTTAAATAAATATTTATTTGATAATGTTATAGATTTCAATTTAATACCAAAATCGTTTGAGTCAAAAGAGGATATGTTGAATGCAGCAGCTAATTGTTATGGACGTTCTTTAGATTTAGAAACAAATGAAAAAAACAAAAATAATCTGAACAGAAGAATTGGTAATGTTTACAATGAAATTACATCAGGTTACATAGAAGAAATAGCAAGTAAATTACTTACTCTAAATTACTTTACTCTAAATTTATATGTAATGGGGTTTATCAATTAATGTAATTTCTTATAGCTGCTTTACGAGATAAAATTGAACTTACTCCTTCAAGATTACAATGGCTGCTAAAACAATCTAAATATTATTTGTCCAAGGGAATTGATAAATTTGAAAGTACCGAAGATTTAATTAATCTTGCATTGTTGTATTCGAACATGGGTCGATTATATAGACATGTATCTTATTATTCCTCACAATACATGGTTTCCTTAGGAGAATTTTTAAAAGATGAGGATTTTACTAACAAAGTTTGTTGATAATTTATAAATTAAAATTAATTATTTCAGTTGATTTTTTATAATTTTGTAAGCCATTTAATACTTTTAAACTAATATTTTAGGCTGTAGAAAGCTACATGAAAGGCTTGGCAGTGCTGGGTTGTCGTCGTTTTAACCCAAAACTATGGGACATGGTTTGTTGGGACTTATCAACAACTATTTACAATTTGGCTATACAATCTCAAGATGATCCATCTGTATTCAGTGTAAGTGTATAGTATTCAGTTCAATTATCATCTTTTGTTTTGGCTCATAGATAAAAATATATAACATTTAGGATAGGGTTGAAGCTGAGAAAGAAGTTATCAGTTTACTCTTGAAAGCTTTAAAATATTGTGATTTGGAAAACGATACGTCAAGAAAATTGTTGTATGAATTTCGGGCAGCATACATTCACGACCGACTGGCTTCTTTGTATCACCATCGTTTAAGGTATTTATTGAACATTGTTAAAGTAAACTGTTTTTTTTTTTTTTTTTTTTAATTATAAAAATGTTTAATTCATTGTATGCCATATAAAACAAAGCCTATATTGATAGTTATACAGTAAAGTAAATGAGTCTAACCGAAATTTAGGGCCTAAGTAAAATAATCATAACATTTTGTGAAAAAAATATGTATTTTCCAATGAACATATGAACAACATCCTTGACCATTATTTAACAAAGTACAGTGTTTGTTGTTTATTAAACTCACTTTGGGACCAGACCATTTGAGTCCACTAACCAAATGATTCAATAAGGTGAAAGGTCCAAAAAAAATTTAAATTAATACTTATTTACTTAAAATATATTTATTTAGATTTCAGCTGTTTTGTAACTAAATATGTATAGTAATAAAAATAATATATGGGTATTTAATAGAAAATATTCAGTTTGATTAAAAATAAAGCTGTAATATATTGTAATAAGCTAAGTATAGTGTAGTAAGCTAGTAAAATTTTAAGTTAATTTTGACACAATTTATTTTGTTTGTTCAAAATAAAAGATCTATAACACATCACACAAATATAGGCAACAAGCCTCATTTCTGAAAATTGATAATTTTTTTCCCACAAAATATTTATCTCAACTTTATTTATAATATTATAATTAGGCTATAAATAATAATACTAAAATATAATAGAGGATACATTAGGGTTAATTAGWTAAATAATAAATTATATTTAAAAATAATGCATGGTATAAGTGTAAAATTATTAAACTAATGCAGAGGTTCCCAAACTGTGCGCCGCGGCTGTGCCTCGCTGACAACTATGTTATCTGGTCTAAAAATAAWCAACGATATTTTACGATGAAAAAAGRTCGTAAATTGTTTTAAGTGTGCCATGAGAAAACTTCAGTTCTAAAAGGGCGCCACGAGTATRAAAAGTTTGGGAACCTCGGAACTAATGTAGGTATTCTAATTTCTATAAGCATTTAAATAATAGATTTTAAAAAATGTATAGGTATTGGTATAAAGAACTTACCAATACTTACAAATAAGAAGTGCTATACGAAAAAATGGCAAGTCATACGCAAAAAAGTTATTGCTAATCAAATAAAAAAAAATATTAAAATGATAAAAAATATTTATTTTTTAATTTTTCTGTAAACCTTGAAAAAATTTTCTTGGGCCATCAATATTAATTTTTATGTTTAATAATAAACTGTTACTTTTTATTAGATGTTTATTCTCAGCTTATAACAAGTTTATATATTTTTTCTTCAGATGTTTGGAAGTGGATGTTCCAAAGTTTAAAAGTACCYTTCATCAATGTACATCTCATTATAATCGTGCATATGAAATGTTTTATAAAATGGATCGTCCATTGGAGTGTCTTGAAATACTCATAAAAACCATTGCTTTAGATGAGCTTCAAATGGACAGTATGTTCATTTGCTATGTCTTATGATAATTTTAAATAATTGAAATTATTAATATCATTTAGGTGCAACAAATTCTCAATCCAAAGTTAAATTTATTATGTCCATCACACAAACTTTAGAAAAATGTATTTCGATACTAAAAATGTTAGCAGACAATRGTATCGATGAATGCACAGAAAAATATTCAGATGATCATAATGATAGTCTTGACAAAACGGATCGGAATGTTGACGATGACCAAGATAGTGAAATTAAAAAAAAAAAGTTGTTAAAACTTTTAGAAGAGAGATTACAACATATATTAAAATCCATGATCAAGCTGGCTATGGCAAAAACGTCAAAGTAAGTGTGCCCTATATCAATTATTTTAATTGTAACATCTAATTCCATACTTTTTTTGTGTCTAAAATTGCTTAGTCAGGTTTTTAAATTTTTTATTTAAGCGAGATGCAAAACCTTTTTTTCATCCAAAATCTTGTACGTAGTATACAATTTTTCAACTATTATAAATTATTCTTTTACCAAATTAAAATTATTGAAAACTTTGGCATAATTTATTTAATAAAAATTTGAAGTCAACAATTTATTTWAAAAAATGTTTGTCAAAATTCAAATCAAGACCAAATTAGATAGGTATTCAAATTAAAAACAATTTTATTTTCCTCTTAAGTTTATTTTTGTTTTGTGTAGTTTATAAAATATTGATAGAAGAGTCTTGAAATTTTTGCTGTTGTATATATTATTATTATTTTTATACACGATGACATTTTCATAATGCTGTGTTAACTTCTCCCGGGGAAATAAYGTCAAAAATCTAGCCACCGGACCGAGAATCGAACTCTGGTCTCTTGCTTGCCGGGCGATTGCTCTAGCACTAAGCTACCCGACCGCATAGACCCATAACCATAAGCGTGCGTAGGTATTCTTGGCAGGGGAGGCAATACCTTAGCTAAGGAGGTCCAGACTCCAATCCCCCCACCCGATTTTCCCCAATTGGTAGGTATAATATTATATTTTGGTGTAGAGGAAAATCTCGCAGGGGAGGCAGCCGCCTCCCCTGCCTCCCCCGTGCGCACGCTTATGCCCATGACGTTATATCCTTAAGTTAACGGATGTTTACAGCTGTATTATTCTTGTTTATTAACACTAAAAAGCTATCTTACAACACATATGGTAAATAAGTATTAAGTACATACCTGAGTAGTTAGAATACAATAAGGCTAATATACATAACAAAGATATTGTACAAGAAAATAGAGTACTGAATAAACATTTTAAATGGTTTGATAATATAAATAATAAAATATACCTTTGCGTTGATTTTGTCAAAAATGAGTTCAAGTTTGACCTACTTGTTACACCGTGGTATTGATAGAAGAATGAATTACTTATGACAGTATAAATATATTATAATGACTGACACATCAGCTCTGCTCATAATTGTTTTTGTATACTATAATTTATCATTGAATTCAAATTTAATGCATCAATTACAATGATTTACTCAATAAAAACCTACTATTCAGCAAATTAGAACTAATCTCGCTTATTTTAATAATCTGATTGCTGAAGACATTTAGGAGTTTATTTTACAAAATCTTGAAGAATTTCTAATTCTGCAATTTTTTTCAGAATTGTTGATACTGCAAAACTTGTTTGATACATATTTCAAGAGACAAAAAGAAAATGTATTTAAAACAATATTATATATTAAACAATTGTTGTGGTAGGAATCGTTTTAATATCAAAATATTGTGATATTATATTAGATAGAAATGCCTAAAAACAGGATATTTAGGACATAGTATTTACTAAGGCTAGTCCTCAGTTATTGTTGATTTAAAATTTTGGTATAAAACGCAACAATGATTTTTGACRTTGCTCCCCTTTCAACCTTAGGTTAAGTCATTGTGTTTATGTGATAAAAGTAAATTATAAATATTTACTATAAGACAATTTAGTTGGTTGATGTAAAACTTACAGATAGGTACTAAATATTAGATAATTATTTAAAAGTGAAATTTAATTTTTAGTAATTTTTCCATTTATCTAATGGACAAACAAATATGAAATATTAATAGTTATAACTTATACATTTATTTGAACTCATTTTAGGTTAACAAGTAAAACAAATGAATTAAAAACAATCTACGGTGAATTGCTGCGAAAAAGTGCCGACGCTGATGATTATTCACATTTACTCAGAGTTGTTACACAAATATCAGAATTAAACTTTTAATTTAATGATTAGGCGAGGTGGTAAAAAAAATTCATATTACTTGTAGTATTAATGTTAATTGCTGTTTGTTGTTTATTTTTTATAGTCAACACTACTTTAAATGTTGGAAACTAGTAACTAGGTATTTTTTTTATAATTCTACTTCTGATTTAAGATTTATTTTTTGTAACATGGTAATACAGACAAAAATCATGATAGACTTAAGTTATCAGAAATAAATGGTAATAATATTGTACAATATGAACATTATGTAAAGTAATTCAAACCAATTTTTGCGAGTGTATCAACACATGTTTATTTACGTCAATGAGTTTTAAATTAAAGAATACACCAAATTTTTTCTTATCTTCACTTTTAAGTTTCACTTCTTTTGTATATCCATGACCATGAAATGTGTGCGATTAACATTGTTCAAAAAATAAAAAAATTGTACAATAGTAAGTCCAATTGTATTATATTGTTGATTAGCCAATAATTCGTAATGATTTATAATAATATTAATTATTGTATGTTGTACAAAATTATAAAGCGCTTGGATAATTAATAAACAATAGTTTAAATTCTTTATACTTAGAGACATTCAATTCATTAAAAACAGTATTTTTGCTGGATTACAAATTGAGGTATCAAAATGTGGTGCTAGGTATAATTCATAYTATTAATGAACTAATGACCAGGAGTAGTCAATTTGATATTTTATTTTTTTCACTTTAAAGTTTAATATATGCTTTTTGATAGGAAATATTATTTTAATTGTACTGATTGTAAATGAACAATTATAGCCCGACAAATATAGAGATGTTAATTTTTTCGATCAATCAAAAAGTTACAAATAATGACATTTTAAGAAAACTGTACAAATTGTAACCTATATGAACAAATCTTTAAAAAAAATTCGCTGTTGCACTATAATCAGAAAAGAGTCAACTCGCGCTGTGGTGGTATGGTACCCTACCTGTTATATTATAATATATACAACTGGTAATGTGACAAGAAAAAATTAATGGGCTCGCAAGTGTGTATCACAATACCGAAGAGGCGTAGAAGGTTGAATTTCAAGATCGGTTGACAGAAAGTCAGAAACAGATATTGACTATCGAGTATTGATGTAATATAATGATAAATGACATGTTTGATGGATAAAAATTAATATCAATGTGATACAGATACCTACAGAAAAACATCAACCACAAACAAAAATAAATTAACAAAGTGTACGCCTAATACAACATAATATTATTATAATAATATTTTAATTAATAAAATTATACATTCAAATAATATATTGGTATCTCGGGCTCGTAAGTAGTCATGATTTCAATACTTTTGATTTAACGGCCAACTATGTTAGTTTATATAAAGCTAACGCATAATATAATATTATTATTACAACATTTGTATATAGGAACATGATCGTATTTTATGCTWATTTTCGCACTAAGAAATGGGTAATACGGTTTTATATTATTATTATTATGATTATGATTAAATAACTGAGAAAAAATAAATTCTAAATACGACCAACAGAAAACGATAATAAATAATAATAACTATAGTAACAACAATGAAGAAAATCGAAGACTTCCTCGGGTCAGCCACAGGTGTCGGCACTTCATCAGTCGTCGTCTCGCGTCGGTGAAACTGGCTCAATTTTCATTGGCGGCGTTGGTGTGGTCGTCGTGGTCGCAGCGGACATCAACAGCGCTGGATTGGTAACGGCGATTATGTTGCCGCCACTCGACGATATTATCTACAAAGCGGAAATGACAATATTCACTATTTTATTAGGCAGTTCATGAGTTCGAAAACAATTTATTTAAAAAAAAAATTGTTTTTCTTCCTATTACGTGCATATTATTATATTGTTTTATTTTTAAAACGACCACAACAAAATTTTAAATCCGTGAGATTTGAAAATAAGTAATGCTTTTTCTAATTAATTTTAACGCATTTAATCTTATAAATCAAACATTCAAATTATTAATATTAATATTCAACAAAATGAATAGTATAATTTTATGAAGAAGTTTATTGATATACACCTAATGTATTTATTATAGTTAGGTATGTGTTAAAAAAGTACAAATATTAAATGCATTACCAAACAAATAGATATAAAATTGATTGAAAGGACTAATAACAAAGCATCATCTAATAAGACTCTAAAAAATTAGAGTCGCCAATTTCGGATACCTAAGTGGCCAATATATACAGATACTCGTCGATTATACCCCCAATTCCGCCTGTACATACATGTTGATCTTATAAATGTTATTAATTGTTAGTTATTATTCAGGACTGAATAATTTTTTACCTGGATTTTGTCGTTGAAAAACCGATCAACTAGATGTCTGTTGCCGTTTATATGCGCAGATGGACTGTGAATGATGTGGCGGCGGCGCTGAGGTTCTCCGTCATCTTCGTCCGTGTCATCTGTATCGCCGTGAGACGAGTTATTCTGAAAATAGAGAATCCTGTTGAACGTATGATGAATAAGGAGATAAACAATGTTCTAGTTAGGTTAAAATGTAGTTACAATATACAAGTAAAATTGCATTATTGCAATAATGTTACAGTGTATACCTATGTCCTACATTATAGATATAGGTATTTTGTTAGTAGGTAATAGGTAATAAAATGTATTATTAGTTTATTGTTATTGTATTACATAAAGCTGCTGCAGTCCAAGCCACGAGTGTTGATGTGTCTGAGAAATTTGTTATTCAAAACAATATAATAATACATTCTATATTATTGCATACATACCTGAGGTTCGGAAAAACACAAACAAAACAAAAGCGAAACAAGCTAAAACAAACATAAACTGAAAAGGTTTCGGTTAATAACGATGCACAAGTATGAATCATAAATTAATAGTAAATTACATCAATGTACCTACATAATATATATATTATACACACATACATGCCTGTTAAATAATAACACAAACTGGGCATTTAAAATAAATGATTTAATTAATGGGCTATTTACATAATTTACAGAATAAACGTTTAAAAAAATATAAATAAATGGCTATTGTTACGTTCAAAATACAGAAAAGTGGCTATATAGTWATAGTAGGTATGCATTTTTTATTTTCGCTAATAGTATTTTTACTATGCTGTTTARAATCGAAACGGATTACCACTTCAAAGTTCAGACTTATCATCCAAAACGCGATATAGCTACTTTTACGGTTACAGGTTATTAAATTATAGCTCATGAKAATTAATTTTAATTTTGAAGTATGTAACTACATACTTGCAACAAAATTACTTTTTATCATGCATTTTCAATATTGTAAAACAAGTGGGACATAAACGACGTATAATTTTAAAACGAAATAATTATCAACTAGGTMCAAATTTACAATTTAATAAGTCTGAATGCGTTAGTTAGACTTTAATTATTATTCCTTTATTCCTTAGAAACACTTTGTACTGATTCTCAATGTTACTCAGGTCTAATATGACAGTCAGTCAGGGCCGTCCCACGC